AAATTAAAATAGAAAAACACTTGTTACACTATAAAAAATTAAGGTTTTAGAGACCAAAATTTAGGGACAAATTTATTTTTAGGAGACCAAATATTTTGGTTACGAGAAGTGCCGTCATTATATTTTTAGCAATGAAAATTGAACATTAGTAATTAATTATTATCTTTTTAGTATTAAATTTGGTATCAAATTGAGACTAAATTATTTTGTCCTTAAAAATCTATTTATTATTGAAATTTTTGAAATTTTATTGCTAAAAGCCTTATTTTTAACTTTTTAGGGTAACCTGTTAGCGACTATTCTCATGACGATAGAAAATTAGTCCCTAAATATTTTTTGCAAAAAATATTTCATTTTTAGAGATCAAAAAAATTGGTTTCTAAAACTCTTATATGTTGTAGTGTCAGATGGTGAAAATATCATAAAATTAACAAATAATTAAATAAGTTAAAAACACAAGAAATGGCTTGTCAAAAAATTCTTAGAATATGTTTGGTTTGATTTTTAGAAATTTATTTTTAAATTTTTTTAAAAAAACTAAAAATTAATTTGGTTAAGAAATAAAAAATAAAAAATAATAATTATTTTTATATAATTTTATCTTTTGAGTGGTTAGAAATAATTTTTACAAATTAAATAAGTCACATTGGTTTTGGTTTTGGTTTTGGTTTCGGTTATGTTCTTCTTGAAGGCCTTGTTTGGGTTGTTGAATTTGATCAGTGGGTGGTTTTTTCTCATCAAGAGCATCGATGGCTGATTTAGCTTCCTTCATGAGCCAATCAATGGCTTCGCTGGGCCGGCCGTAGCCGAGCCGGTCCTGAACATCGTAGAATTGGATTGCGGTGTGGGCCGATAACCGGACTCGCCGGTCCTTCGGTCCTCGCGCGGTGCAGACCTTGCTGTGCCGGTCTTTTCGCCCAATGGACCGAAGGACTCGGCTTCCTTGTATTATCTTTCCTCCAAATATAGAAGTGCAAAGTGTAACATATCCTTTTTATTTCTCTATATTTTCTCTTTAATTGTAAGAAATACAAAAATAAAAAAATAAAATGAGAGAAGAATTCACACAGCTCAGCAACTTAAAAAGGTAACAGGCTAGCTACACGTATCTCTGAGACCCCACACATGCCACCACTAATGCTCATTAGTGCAGCCCACACACAAAGGTTCTACTTCTAGCCTTCTAGCCAGGCATCTATTATTGCATTATTTTAAAAAAAACACATTACAATTGAGTGCTACTTTGACAAAATAATAGTATAAATTTATGAAAATTTTTAAATTTTTAATTATTAATGTTTATAAACTTTACTATTGATCTGATTTTTATTTATTTAAAGTATGCACTAAATTAATATTTCTCTTTATTTTTAGCATAAATTACAAATCAATTAGAAGGGGAAACAAATAATTACAAAAATATAAGACTCTATCTTGAGTACAATTTTTGTTGTATTTTTCCACACACCAAAATAAAAATAAAAATAAAAAACTTACATACAATATATTTGTAATTAGTTTTGATCAAATACTCTGCTTCATAATTGCCCCTTATTTTTATATCAAGCACAAAGAAGAATAAAGCTTTGGACCCCCAGTGGGGGTGCGGGGTCCCTTCCCATTGGTCCAAAAAAACAATTTTTTTTTTTTTTTTTGAGTTTCCAGCCACCCTCAGGCCGACACGTGGCACTGGGGTCACTGGGGGTCACCCCAACTGGGGGTCTGTAGCATTACTGCACAAAGAATAGCTCCATAGAGTGTGAGTGAAATGGCCCTTCATAGATTTTTCTATGTTTGAAACCCCTATTTTAATGGGCATATGGTACCATAAGTTTCTTTCTATCATATTGTCATTGCTGAATGGGCAATCAAATATAAAATCCATTCCCTCTTATTGTAATAATATATACATTGTCAGTTTTAACAAAGATATGGTAAAGCATAATTGGACACTTTCCAATAATTAAATGTTAAATGAATTAGTGGCCCCTTTTTTAACACAAATTTATAAAATGTCGGTTGATATAATTGTTAAAGTTTCTTATAATAAAAACTTAAAATAATTGGAGCTGAGAGAGTAATCGGGTGGTAGGCAGGACATGTCATAAGAAATTAATAACATGATATATGATCATTTTTGTCAAAAAAGGTATAAAATAAAAAAATAAAAGAGACACAGTGATTATGTATTTTATCTTTAACAAAAATTATAAAATATTGATTGATGTAATTGTTAAAATCTCTTATAATAAAATTTTAAAATTAGAGATGACAGTGAAATGTAGTAGTAGAGCATCAATTACTTTTATTTGGTAGGTCCAGTTTATCACATAATTGTGTCTACACAATAGTAGCAAGACATATAATCATTTTGTTAGAAAAAATAAGAGACAAAGTGATCACATATCTTTAAAAAGACACAACATGTGTGCTATAGATCAAATATACTAGATATTTTTTTCATCGTGGAATTTCAATCCTTCCATATTTGTTTGGGTGGACATGAGCTTGGGATTGGACTAATAGTCTAATAAAATTATTAATCCGATGTTTGGTTAAACAATTGAAATACGGACTAATTATTTTAAACTTGACTATTAGTTAAGATAGGATACATAATCCAACGGATTCGTAGTCCTAAGACTATTAGTCATGGGAATAATAATCCAGTCCGCCCAAACAAACATGGCCATAATGTACTCTTTTAAAAATAAAAAATAAAAGTTGTGTTTAAATTTCAAATATATTTTTCAAAATTTTGGTACAAAATTAAGATTTAAACACAATCATATAATTAAATTTAAAAAATTACTTAAGAATGAATCTCCAATAAAAAAAATAACTAAAGAATGAATCCCCTTTTCGCCATGGCTAGGAGCAAGGATCCTCTAGAGTGATTTTTTCCTAAAGTTTCCTAGAGTAGTACATTGTGTGATTAAGATTTACTGGCAAGTCACATCAATTTTTCTGATGTGACTTGCCAGTAAATCTCAACCACACAATATAACACTCTAGAAAATTTTAGGAAAATTTCACTCTAGAGGATCCTTGGTGCTAAACAAGGCAACTTGTAATACAGTGCCACCTGTTTAAACCCTCCCGCTCTTACGCGTCTACTCTCTCTGATGCGACGAAGCTTTGGCCGACAATGGCGGCGATCACATCACGAACCCCGACGACTCATCTTCACCGCCAAATCAACTCCAAATCCTCGCCGTCCGATCAAAAACTCATCACAATCGTGAAACTTCCGGTAGCTCATTCCGAACGGCGTCGTAGCTTGGCCGTCTTGGCTTCTCTCCATCGCGACAATGGCGATGAATCGCCCAACGCCTATGGAAGCAAGAACAAGAACAATTCAATCGAGTTCCAGAAGCTTCTAGAAGACTCGCCAAATGAATTCAACTCAAAAGACTTAAACTCACTTCCAAGTAACTCTCGAGAGTTTTTTTTTTTTGTATCATTATTAAATTTGTTATATGCGTATGGTAATATATTGGATTTTTTTATAAAGTTGAATGTTCAATAATGTAATTTTCATTATATTTGTTGCAAAATAATAATAATAATAATAATAATAATAATAATAATAATACATTTAGAAAAATTATAATTAAATATAAAATAAAATTTGGTGGAAGATTTTTTTTTATTAACTTGGTCTTGTCTAAGAAGTGGGAAATTAATCTAGGTGTTGAAAATTGTTGGCTAGCTAGAAGACACTTAGGGTTGGTTTGGGAAGTGGGTTGACTTTTTAATTTTTTGGCTATTTTAGTCTGAGCTAAAAAGTCTGGTTTGGGAAGGATTTTTGACTTGTTGGCTTTTTTGACTTTTTTTGTGAGAAAAGAGTGTAATGATTTTGGATTGGATGTGATGTTTTATTTTTTATAACTAAAATAGCCTATTTTATCTTTTGTAACTAAAATAGCCAAATTAACCCTTCCCAAACGGACCCTCAGACCATGTTTGAAGCTGGACAGACATAAAATTTAGCTAGAAATTATTAGTAAAGGTCCTTTTGTGAAATAAACTAGAAAGAGTCACACCACCATTCAACCAATCAAGCAATACTTTGTTTATAGAAAAGGACTTCTCAATACAAGCAAGTTAGGACATTGAATATGACAAAGATGTATGACATTGGTTGTGCTTTCAATTCACTTGCCAATTTAATCAATTTTCGACAAAGCATGAACTGTTCCATTGGGGAAGTGATGTAGCCAATGGATAAACACAAGAAAAAAAAATTTCTTACGAAAAATAAATCCAGAATCTGTGACAAAAATGATATGACAATGATATTTACGCAGTTAACAGTCAATTTAATGAGTTCTTTGTTTTAAAGCATCATTACTCCAATCACAAATGATCACTATTTTGTGAACAAATATTAATATTAAATGCAAACATGTTGGGTGAATTGCTTTGGGAGAAAATTTATGAAAATAACTTACTTTTTATAAAAATAAAAAATAAAAAAAGTGAAAATGTTGTTTTCAATTTTTTCAAAAATATCTCCTCACAAATGAAATAATGGGTATTTTTGAACCTTTCATTGGTTTTGTTTCCAAAAATATAAAATACCAAAATATAAAAAACGAAAACAAGGAAAATGACAACACAACCAAAACGTAAACATCAAAGGAAACAAAGTGGCATTTGCTATAACACTTGAATTTAGCAGAACTAATAATTCTGAACTAATAGGAAAACAAAGAAAGGTTCAACAAAATAGTCAAATCTAGGGCACATAAACAAGCAAATACACATCACATCAATTGATCAATCAAGATGTCTCTTGATCCTTCTACTTAAGATTGCATATGACAACAGCTCAAATTCCTCTAGTGGAGGTCCTGAAAATATTACAAATGTAGTATGAATTGGAAAGAAAATATGTATTGAAACAGAGAGGTAAGAAGGGTAATTTTTTTTTTTAATTGTGATTTTTGTTTTGTGAAAACATGAAAAACGAAAACGAAATCCAAGAACAAAGAAAATGACAACATAACCAAAATGTAGTTTATAAATTTTAAGAAACCATCAGAGATAACAAAGTGTTACTATAACACTTCAACTAGAACTAATGACAAAAACATTTCCAAGAAAGGTTCAACAAACTAGTCAAATCACATAAACAAGCAAATACACATTACATTACATCACATCAATCAATCAAGATCTCTTGATCTTTAGTCAAGAATTCACACGACAGCTCAAATTTCTCTAGTCTTGAAGGGTCCTGAAAATATTAGAAATGAAACATGAATTGGGATTGAAAAACATGCATTGAAACTAGAAAATCAACAGGAAAATAAGAGTTGTGTTGTGGGTATCATTATTACCATGTGGACTATGTACTTTCTGGGTTTGTTCCCCCCCACTAATCTTGATAATAATGAAGAAGACAAGAAGCAGAGAAAGGCTTGTTTGGAACTGGGTTATGCCTATCCTCCTCACCTCGAACAAGCGGCGAAACACAAAACCCCGAGAACCCGTCACCGGGGAAAGAATTCCCAGTGATTTCAGGCATCTGATCATAATTCAGGCCTGAAATCTGTGGGTTCATCAGAGCAAGAAATGATGATGATGAAAAACAACTGGACTGAAGGGTTCCTCCCTGAGAAAACAACAAAGGGTCTTGTTCACCCACAACTTTCTGGTTCCATTGGGGCATTGTATCAGTAACATAGCCTCCTATTGTTGAGTTGGCACTGAAAGCAATTTTTCTCTCATAATTTTCAAATCCCATTCTGGCCTCAAGAAAATTGAGGCTCTCAAATTCATTGCTTGATGAAGATGGTATCGAGAAGCTCAAATTGTTAACAGGGTCACGTTGGTTTTGGTTTTGGTTTTGGTTTCGGTTATGTTCTTCTTGAAGGCCTTGTTTGGGTTGTTGAATTTGATCAGTGGGTGGTTTTTTCTCATCAAGAGCATCGATGGCTGATTTAGCTTCCTTCATGAGCCAATCAATGGCTTCGCTGGGCCGGCCGTAGCCGAGCCGGTCCTGAACATCGTAGAATTGGATTGCGGTGTGGGCCGATAACCGGACTCGCCGGTCCTTCGGTCCTCGCGCGGTGCAGACCTTGCTGTGCCGGTCTTTTCGCCCAATGGACCGAAGGACTCGGCTTCCTTGTATTATCTTTCCTCTTTTTGAACTCTTTAACTTTAAACTCTCTTGCATTCTCTCTCTATGGCTTGAATTATTGCATTGTTTGGGGGTACAATTTTGACAAGAAATCAAGAAAGATTGGGTTTTAGGCCATTTGGGTTCGATGGTTTTTGTGGGTTTGGATTGAACAAGAACATTTAGTTGGGATCGTTGATGATTGTGAAGATGATGAGGAGGAGGGTGATGATAAAGGGTATGAACAAGTCCTTACAATTTGTGTTGTTCATGTAGTTGATTTTCATCATCTTGTTCTGATGATGATGATGGTGATGATGATTGATCTAGATCTTGATCTTGTTCATCTGATTGGTGATGTTGATTGCTTGAAAGATCCAGCTTTGATGAACACCAACCTATTCTTGCCCACTTCAAGATTTTTTTTGACTTGGTGATGATATTAAAGAGCTGGATTTTCTAACACTCTTTAAAAGTCTATATGTGAGTCTTGCTGTTCAGTGTAATTTATGGAGTAGGTTTTATTTATTTATTTATTTTGTGTGTGTAGTTTTTGTTAAGGTATTCAATAATTATACATTTCTCTAAATCAATGAATTCTAATGATATGAAGAAAAAAAAAAAAAAACACAAGACGCAAAACATTTTTGGGTCATATTTATCTTTTTAGCATTACTTATATTAGTGTATTTATTTAGATAAGTATATTTATTTGGATCATATTATTTTTTTATTTTTTTACACATTTTTTTGTAAAAAATCAAAAAGCATATTTATTTAGATAATTCTAAATATCCTTATGAGTTTAGTGTAACTTATTGTAAACGAAAAGTTGATAATATGAAAACAAAAGTAAAAAATACTCGTTGCTCAGCTTCTATATAAATTGATTCAGGTATTATGCTGAATCGTTATCTCTTTTGACATGATGGCAGAGGTTACTTTTTATCAGTTTTGATTGGTACAATTAATTTGGTATTATTAAATCAACAATGATTCATCCCACTAAAAATATCACCACTAATAGCACTAATGCATTAAAAAAATAAAAAATAAATAAAAATAAATACAACTCCAAGACCAAAACATCACATCATTAATGACGGGACCCACTACCACCTAATTAGTGGGAGCACTAATTAGTGCTCCCAAGCATTTTTCTATTAGCACCTCATATAAGTTATACCAAACATTCCCTAACTTAAATGTGTCAAAAAAATTGATTATTGCAAAGTACGTAAATAAGTGTTTTTATTTTTTATTTTTTATTTTTTATTTCTGATTGAAATAGTTTGGTGCACATCTTTCTTTATTTTTTAATAATTAATTATTTCAAATTATTTAAGTTATTTTTGTCTCATAAATTAAAAGTCAAAATTATAACAAATATTTTAACACAATTTTTATTTAATTTTTTTTTTTTTAAACAACTCCATAATTACTCCAAGCTAAGTACCATCTTTCAAACTTGTTAAAAACTGTACTAAACAGAGAATAGTGGGTATTATTTTACCATTTCTATTAACCTCTTTTGGTAATTTTGGCCTGTCACTTGAGGCTGTTAGCTATAGACTATTTTAGTAATTTTCTAAATTATTTTTTTTTTTTGTTAAAACATGAGATAAAAAATTTGTTGGGAATGATATTTTTTAAATAAAAAAAAAGATATACGAAAAATAAAGAAAAAATTAACTTTTTTGTATAATTTATTTACTTTTTTTTAGAAAGTTTACTTATAAATTCTATTTTGAGGAATGATAATCCATTTAATCCCAAGAATTTTCTTATAAACTAATTAGTGTCATTGACTTTGAAAATGTGGATTTAATATATTATTTAAAAATTAAATTTACAATTATACCCTTATTTTTATCATGTTTCCTTCTCTTTTTATTCTTTTGTGCTAAAAAAGTAATGTACACCATCTATGAGAATTAAATTTGTGATGAATTTTTATATGAAAATCTTTTTATTTGGAAAACTTTTCAAAAGGAGTACAAAAATAATTTGAAATATGAGATTCCTCAAACATTCCAAAAGGATGTGGGATTCTTCAAAGATTTCAAAAAGAGTATAAAAATCTCTTAGTAAACTTTGATCAAATATATAATTTCAAACCGTAACACTTCAATATAACACTCAAACGTAACAATTTAATTGTAACATTTAAAAAAAAATGTATTATTTCCAAATGTAACACTATAATATAACACTCCAAGAAAATTTAGTGTAACACTCCAATGTAACACCAAAAAAAAAAAAAAAAATTCATTAGTATACTATTCTCAAACGTAACACTCCAAAAAAATGAGATTCTTCAAACCATTTCACAAAGAGTACAAAAATTTCTTAATAAGTTTTGAGCAAATGTATAATTTTAAATTATGAGTGCTACATTTGAAAAAATTATATTAAAGAATGTTTTAGTATTTGTATGTGTGTTACATTTTATCCACCCAAAGAAAAGTGTCACATTTGGAGTATTATGTTTAGAAAAAGTATACTAAAGAGTTTTTGTGTATTACATTGAAGTGTTACGTTTGAAAAAAATACACTAATGAGTTTTTTTTTGAAATGTTACTTTGTTACGTTTGGGAAAAGTGTACCAAGAAATTTTTTAATATGTTACATTAAAATGTTACGTTATTAGAATGTCACATTTTTGTTTATAAGATGGGATTTGTTCTAAGAGGGAAAATCCAAATTCTCCATAGTGTAGATTATCTAAATATGAAATTTTACACTTAGAGAAATTCATTTTTATCTTTAATAAACTAAACCCAAATATATAAATGACTACTTTTTGTGTAATTAATTTTCACTTTAATAAAATCTTTAAATTTATAAAAAAAATTAAACAATTTATAAGATTACCTTTTAAAATTTATTAAAGTTTCACTTTTTTTAAAAAATTTTAACTTTTTAAACTAAAAGCTAACGTTGCCAAACAGCATATAAGTTATAAGTCAGTCCAAAATCAACATGTTCGGGACAGAGTAGACACTTCTGTTTTTAACAAAAGTAACTTTCGTTTTTCACATAGTAATTTTTAACCGTTATTGTTAGAGATCACTAATTTAGTTATTCTAAACTTATCATTAATGAGGTAATAAAAAAAATAGACAAAATATAAACTATGACAGTGGGTGAGACTCACTGTCACATCACTAATAGTAACTCTAATTAAAACTCCCACTCATTTTTCATTTTTAACTCATGATGCGGATTCTTTCGCATCACACATTCCAATTCTCTCTTTACAAAACCACTCAATGAGCTTTATGCAAAAAAGTTGCAAGAACATGTTATTGGTGAAAAAAGTTTGCAAATAGCATTACTTTAGGACAAAATACATATTAACTCTGCTTATGTGATTGTGTATATGTGTGAGGGAGCAATTTTTATCTATGATTTTTTTAGGTGTAGTTAAAAAATTAACTTATTGACTAAAAATAAATTAATAAAAAAACTCAAAACTAAACAAAACTATTTTATTTAACATATTTTTCTTTTTCTTTTACTTTTCTATTGAGAGAAAGATTCCTAGATGAATAGGAGTCCTTCCATGGAACCATCAAGTCTAATTGCATCTATTTGTATTTATGTGTGTTGATGGAGAAGTTATTTTGTCATCCAAGGACAGATTTAGTTGGTGCCCCAGTTCACCTGTGAGCCGTGTTGAAGATAGTTTTAAGGACAATCAATAAGAAAATATAAAATGTCTAAATATTTATAATTTTAATGGGAAATTAGATCAAAATTCTTTTATAATAAAATTTTAATATATTAAGAGATGCTCTAACAAGAGAACGGAAAGAGGAATTAACGAGAACTAATAAATATTTTATTAGTGTTTTAGAAAAATAAAAATTTATTCACTCGGTTTGTTTCTAGTTTTTAGAATTTATTTTTCAGAAAATTGTACTTTTTTGTTTTTCATATTTTTTTTTGTTTTTATTGACTTTTTTTAATATTTTAAGCAATTTTTTTTTTTTACTTTTTAGACACACCTAACATAAATACACCTAAAAAGTAAAAAAATTGTAAAAAAATCTTTTAAAAATTCATTAAATACCAAAAATACAAAAAAAAATTATAAGAATTCAGTACATTTTTTATATTTTTATGTATTTATTAATGTTTTAAAATATTTTTTCACAAATTTTTTACTTTTTAAATACATCTAAGTAAGGTGCATCTAAAAAAGTAAAAAAAAATGTTTAAAATTTAAAAAATATTCACTAAAAACAAAAAAACACAAAAATCAAAAAAGTCAGTTTTCAAAAAACTTAATCCAGAAAACTCAAACCAAACACAGTGAATATTTTTAGAATCTTCTCATTAAGATCTATCAAATAAGATCCATGTTGATTATGAAATTCTTAAAAAAAAATAATTTATTACCGTCGAAATTGATATAAACAGTAACATATTACTCTGTTTAACAAGCATGTTACTCTGTTAATATTATTCAATAAAAAAAATATTTTATTTTGTCTTTACTCAATTATACGCCTCCTCATTTGATAATTTATGAAGCAAAATAAATTTAGCTATCTCAAATAAAAGTCCAATGAATGAGTTTTGGCTAAATTTCTCAATCTTAATTTACTTTTCACATACTTCTAAATATTTTTATACACTTTTGACATATTAAAATATTCCTTTACACATTTTTCAACACTAGTAACAATAGTTTTAGCCTTTGTTTGGTTTTCTTTGTATGCTATATAATCACAAAAGATTAAAAAAAAATTACAAAATTATAAAAAGACAAAAAAAAAACTATAAAAAGTACCAAATTACCTCATATACAAACAAAATGTCAAAAAAACATCATTCTATACTAAGGGTAATTTTGTCATTCTAAAGCCAAAAAAGTTAAAAAAGCCAAACAAGAATACCAAACGACTAAAAAAGTCTCAGGCTAAAAAAGTCTAAAAAATTTAAAAGCCAACTAAAAAAGCCAAAACCAAACCACACTTTGAGAGTTGTTTTTAATATTTTCCTTCACTTACTGATTAATAAAATGAGGTTCAATGCTTTTCTGTTTATATTTTGTGTTTAAAGTTGTTTTTATAACTTAAAAATTATTTTACGAAGTTATAAAGTGTTTGGAAAAACATATTTTAAACAGCTTGCTCCATAACAAAGATAACCAGTTATTTATCAAACTTGTCATTTCTAGACAAATTTTTTAAATACAAAATGTTTTGAATTTATTTTTTGAACTCATATTTTTTGCAGTCATATTTTAAAAAACAAGATTTTAGACTCGAAGTTGTGTTTTGAATAACTTTAAACAATTTTAAAAGTTAATTGAAATTGTATAAAAAAAAATTTGAGAAATAAGTTGGAAATAACTTGCATTTAAAAATTCTTTCAAAATAACTTTAAGAGAATTTATTTGATTGAGGCTTAAAATCAATTTATAGGCTACATATCACATTTTGTTAAAAATGCTTTTGCTTATTTCTCTCAAAAAACCTAGAATTGTCGCTCTACCGACGTGTT